AACCAGTTGTGATTTAGAACAAAAACAGAAAGAATTGTTAATTCCTCTCACTTGTTACTAAATTGTCTTGGATGATCGCTCTTGATTGAAATCATAATAAAAAAAATAATAACGATATTAGAGCAATGACAACCACTGGGGTATGGAGGCTCTTCCTCCAAATCACTGACGGGAAGTCAAAGGATGAGTTTCAATCTTGAAGCTCATTGAGTCTATATATATATATATATTAATTTTTATGTTTTGGGGATACAGCTTCATATGGGCAGGCATATGCATTTTTTCTTTGTACTGCATATGCATTTTTTCTTTGTACTTTTTGAGTCTATATATATATATATATATATTAATTTTTATGTTTTGGGGATACAGCTTCATATGGGCAGGCATATGAAAATTTTTCTTTGTACTTTTTGGCCCCCACAATACTAACTACTAGGGAGGAGTATATTGTAACAAATAAATAAATTTAAATATGTATTATACTATATATATTTTGTCTGTGTTGGCGGCTGAGTTGCATAATACTATATCAATCTGGATGTATATTGGAAGCATAATATTAAAATAATCGATCATCATTGAAATTTCCTCCATTTTTGTAGTTTTCGACCAACTTGTGGGAAGTCCCAATTCTGCTTTGGACTAGTTCATGTAAGTGACCTGTGTGTCCCCTAGCGTGACTGTTGACGTGACTGTTGGGGGTTACAGAGAAGAGAGAGTATATAGTGGGACTGAGACACATGGAGAGTGGTGTTGGATGGCAACATATCAGCCACAAGTTGTCGGCCACTTGATTTGGGGGCCTTATGATCCCCCGTCCATATTTCATCAGCAAACTTGATCTCACTGTGTTACACAGAATGTCATTAAGTTATTAGAATATTGATTGGAGATATATAATAATTTTATTCTGATTTTTTTATCTGCCCTTTCCCATTATTTATATAAGATAAATGCTATTGAACTATTGAGTGCTAAAATCTAGAATGGTATATGCTTTATGTTTTTTCCCATGATTTATGTAAGACAAATGCTAGTGAACTTTTGAGTGCTAAAATCTAGAATGGTATATGCTTTATTTTTAAAAAATAAAGGATTGTAATGCATTACTAATATTTACTTATTACATTCTAAAGTTAAAGTTGAAAAGTTTAAGTATAGGTAAGAGAAGAAATATCAATCTATATATATATATATATATATCTCGGAGCAAAGTAAATATTTGAGTTTTTTAATCTTTTAATCCTTAATGAAATTTCCGACACAAAAAAAAATCCTTAATCAAATAATAACTCTTAAGTTATGTTGGGGAGAACATAGAAATTTTCTAATTCTATTTAAAAAATCTTGTTAGAACAATAATAACGACAATTAATCAATTTTCTTAATAATTTGAGATCGGTTACGTGAATTAAATATTTTTATTTCGTTTATTTATACTAATAGTTTCGGTCAATGCACATATTATTATATCACTATTTACTCTCAACTTTAATTTTTCTCTTTGTAATATTATTTATGCTTATAAAGGTTTTATTTATGAATAATGATAGAAACACCGAACATTTATTTCTGAGTTGGCACCGAACCCATCACGTCATCTACTTGAAGCTCATTGAGAAAAAAATAATTCTGCAAATAACAAAGATACCCTTATGTTCAGTCTTATCTTCTTTTCATAACCTTCATTTTTCTCTCTTTATGATTTTACTCATCTCTCTCTCAAATTGTTCACCTATCTCTCTCTATTGACATTCTTTTCACTCTCACTCAAATTTGGGTTTGAATTCTATCTTTTCCATCTCTTTTCGAATTCTGTAACTTTTTCTATATCTAAAAATTTAACCATCTCTCTCTACTGACATTCTCTTCACTATCTCTCAAATTTGGATCTGAATTCTCTCTTTTCCATCTCTTTCAAATTCTGTAACTTTTTCTATATCTCAAAATTTATCTATCTCCTCTCTATCTCTATGAAAATTTTCTTCACCTTTTCGCTATCTAAATTTTCTTCCTCTTTAATCATTTTTTCTCTTTAAAAATTTGTCCATCTCTCCCTCTCTAAAATCTTGCAAATAAACCCTAATCTGTAAACTTCATCAAAATAGGTTTATTAGTCTATATCACGGTTGCTTATTAACTCCGTCTGGTCTTCTTCAAAGAGAGAAGACAACAAAAAAAAAAGAATAAGTAATTGAAAGGTTTCTAGTATGATACGAATTTATGAATTGAGAAGATGGTGGCCATGGAATATGCAGAAGAGAGAGAATTTTGGAAAGAGATTTAAAAAAAATTGAAAGAGAGAACCAGTGGGGGTATGTAATAAAGATAAGGGCAAGTGGGGTATGTAATAAAGATAAGGGCAAAACTTGGGTTAGAAACTCTAAAAAACGTGAACAAGAGAATCTGATGTGGCAAAGTATGTCAATTTCAGTGCCCGTTCAGTGATTTCCGTTCGGTTATTGTATTATTACTCTTTAATTATACATGTCGAGATCATCTTGTCCAATTTTTTCTTAATTTTTTATCCTGTTTGTGCTATTCCAACAATCTGATGATATGATTATTCTAATTTTATCTTTTCTAAAATGATTTGAACTCTCATTTACTTAATTTTTTTTTTTAATAATTTAACTTATTATTTCAAAAATGATAAAAAGGTTTTATTTTTTATTTTTAAAATTCCATGTTTAGCAATTTTGATTCTTTCTTATTATCTAAATAACAAAATAAATAAAAGAAACATTGGTTATTTGGTGAAATAAAATTTTAATATCTAGAAGAGAGGAAAATTTTGAACAATTCAACTAGTGAGAGCCAGCTGGAGAATGAGACCTCCCTTGCCCACAAAATTACTTTTGAACAAATGTAGGGTAAATGTTGGCACTAGAAGGAAAAACACTTTGTCCCCTTCTTATATGGATATTATTAAAAACAATCAAAGAGAAAAAGAGAAATCTTGAAATTGGTGGTATGGGCTTCCTTGTAATCACAAGACCAATAAGTCAAAAACGATACACAAAAGAAGAAGGAATTATTGATTTCTAGTTGGTATATGACCAAAAATGAGTAGAAATCACTTACTATGTGGTATGGTGCCCAATGTTTTTCTTGTTTTTCAAAAGCAAAATGAGTAGAAAACTAGATTGAAATATAATATTGTCATTGTATGAATGCAAACCCTATAATTCAAATACTTGAGAAAAGGTTGTCTGTCTTGTATGGGATTACTATGGGACACCCAAAAATGAGTTGGAGGGGAAGGAGATTGATATAATAATTGTCTACCAGCCTTCACAAAACTATTTTGTATATTTTGAAAATAATTAATAAATTAGTTATTATGTAGTGTGTACTATATCTTTTTTATATTTGAAAATTCAAAGTATTTTTATTTATATTTTTTTTAGTATTTCTTCAACTGGAAAAATATTTTAGCTCCACAAACATTAGTCAAATAATCAACTATATGGCATTGGGACAATTCTTCCAAGATTCTTCTCTTGTGTTAGTTAGGTGATTAAGATTAATAATGATTTCAGATTGGTCTTTGTCAAACTAATGTCATGTTTGGTTGGAAGAAAAAGAGAAGGGAAAGGAGAGGAAAAATAGGAAGGAGAAAGAGTTCTCCGTCATTTGGTAAAGGGAATAAAGAAATGACGTGGAAGGGGATAAGGCATACCTCATTAAAAAAACTTTTCTTTCCATGTAAGACAATATGACTAATTGACTAGAGAGAGAAAGGAAGCAGAAAGGAGAGGATGATTTACTTCCAAACTAAAAAAAAAATAAAGAAAATGAAATGACGATGTTACCCATTTCACCCTTATTCTTCATTTCCTTCCTTCATTTCTCTTAACTAAATTTCCTTTATGGTTCTATTCCTTCTGCCTTCTTTTCATCCGATTTTTTATATTTTCATATCAAAAGAAAAGATTGTGATGAAATTGAGTATTAATGTTTAATTAAGCTAAGTGAGTGTTTGACTGCATGTAATTGGAGTATTAAAATTACAATTGGTGGAATTTGAGCAAAAAAAATTTAAAAAATAAACCAATTTTTTTAATTTTGCAAATTCCACCAATTTCAATTCCTTTGAGAAGCGCTGTAAGTAGACGGCTCGTTCGTGTCACCTCGTACCAGCATTCTTGCAATTAGATGGCCTAGGGCTCTAATTCCATACAGTTAAACACACTCTAAGACTACATTTGACAAACATGAAATTAAAGAAAAACAATCCGGAAAATAAAACCAAAAATTTATTTAATTACATAAATTATAATTCCAAAATTTCAATTTTATGTCAGTACCCTAAATGTTACAGCATTAAGACGGGAGATCCACTGTTATATGAGAATTGTTGAATCAGAAAGCAGTGACAAACTAATAAACTAGCACATCATTGATCATCACATCAAAATACTTCTTATATTTTAAAAAGAGCACAATTTACTATTATGACGTACAAAGTGAGTTTAGTGAAAGTGTGACGCCTCAGAGTTTGGTAAGAAAGTGAAACAGTTGGGGGAAATTAATATGAAACTTGATTCTTCAATGGCAACAATAAATGTACAACTAATAGTTAGAGGGAACTAAATAAACTTGTTACTGGATTTGTAATATCAGAAATTGCTATTTGGTGTCCAATTTACATAATTTCCAGCTGTACGAGAAGAGTAGTGAATCAGGTGGAAGTTGCTTTCCATTCCCTTTGAAAAGATTCTTGAATCACTTGCCAAACACGAGCAAATAAGAAGCTCTGTTTTTTTCCTCTGTTCTAAATTGAAAAAATGATTATTTATTTATTTATTTATAGTATTCCAAAGAAAAGAATTGATCCAAATTAACCCACATGCGACCGTCACCGGCTCCAATCCATCAAAGATTTCAAAATTCATTTTTCATTCAAATATAAAATAGGAACATGTGGTACCTACCATGTGCCCCGTCTCTCTCTCTCTACAGAGACACACACACAACACACACAACACACACACACTCTCTCTCTACATTATATATAGACATTTACATGAACACATTTATCAGACAACTTTTTGTTTACTCCTCGTCCTTTTCTTCTTCATACCCTGTGGATCGAAATCCAAGATGGGTGGTTTGTTGTTGAAAGCCATTTTTCTCTCATTATTTGTGTTATCACACAAAGCAAACGCTGATATAAACAAAAATGGAAGCACTTGTTCTGGTGCTAGAAAGCTGGCAGGTAGATGTAATATATTCAGAGGGAGATGGGTATATGATAATTCATATCCTCTGTATGACTCCTCAAGATGTCCCTTCATAGATCCAGAGTTCGATTGTCAGAGGCACGGCAGACCTGATCAATTGTATCTCAAATACAGGTGGCAGCCCTTCTCATGTAACCTTCCAAGGTACTACTACTCTTAAATACTACAATTAATGTCCTCTTCTCTCTTTCTCTCTCTAGACACACACTTTCTCTCTCTCTCTCTCTCTCTCTCTCTCTCTCTCTCATATGGGTATGTTGTACTGCACAGGTTTAATGGGTTATATTTCTTGGAGAAATGGAGGGGAAAAAAGATCATGTTTGTGGGTGACTCACTGAGTTTGAACATGTGGGAGTCTTTAAGCTGTATGATCCACTCATGGGTGCCAAACGCTAAGACCACACTTGTTAGGAGAGGTATAATTGCTACACTTACATTTCAGGTTAGTTTTCTTTGCTTTGCTTTGCTCTCTCTCTCTCTCACTCACTTTTCTGGTTAATTAAGTCAACAAAAATCATTTCTTGGTACAGTCCATGCATTTCATATCTTTTTCCCCCCAACCTCCAGTAGTCCAGTTGTTGAAAAGTTGAATACTACTCTATACAATATAGATGCATATGTGTATACATATATATATATATATATAGATATTATATACTGTACTAAATTATGCTATTTTCATAATTTTTGTAAAAACAAAATATTGCTATTCTCACTCCCAACTTCTCGAGAGAAATCTGAAGTCATTAATCAAATTGTAAACATGAGCTTTAATACGTATGACCTTGAAGCCTCCAGCTCATAAAGTAACAAATTTTTTAGCAAACTGTGCATTAAATGGGGGTATTGCGGAATTGTGTGTTTTTTTTTAGCAATCTGTGCGGAATTGTGCTTTACTTTTCAAATTTCTGTTCATATTTTCACTTTAGTACTTTACTTGTGGTAATAAGTGCTTAATTGAAAAGCACTAGTAGGTGACAATTTCACTTTTGACAAAGTTGGGGATGCCAAAAAGCACTTTGAAATTTCTAGGCGGCAACACTCATTTAATTTGCCTTCTACTTTAGTTTTATGGGGAGTTGGAGCAAAGGAGAAGTCCATGCTCTAAATATTACTTTACGATTACTACCATCCTATCTAAAAATACAAACACTTAAATGATGCATGTACAATTTCATTTCCAATTCTATTTTTAATGAATAAATTTTGATACACACCTTTTTTTTTTATCTACTCCAATGTTTATGTGTGACGAAATTTTTTGGGTAGTAGGTTTGAACTTTTTGGAAATTTTCTCTAACTTATTATTTTGGTAAAAAAAAAAGAAAGAAAAAAAAAGTTCATTTATTCGAAATTCACTGAATTTATGTGAATATAATACTCTGTAAATAAATTTAAGTAATTTTTTATAAATTTAAGTAAAGATGTTTTCCCTCTAAGTTCTGGTTTCATTCAAAAATAGAGTTTAAAACCAATAAGATAACAAATAACTTACGCAACAAAATTTATGAAAATTCAGATGAATTTATGTGAAAATAACAGTCTGTAAATAAATTTAAGTAAAGATTTTTTCCTTCTAAGTTCTGGTTTCATTCAAAAATAGAGTTTAAGACCAATAAAGTAACAAATAACTTACGTAACAAATCAGTGTACATATACGGTCACAATCATGATGTCAATGTCTCGAATACAAATAATTAAATTGAAGCTTGAAAACTTAAAGTAAACGGGAAGGACTTTAGGATGGATCAATTAATGATTTTGTCATTTTTAGTGGGAATGGTACGTACAGTAGAAAATGACTCGACAAACTCCCCATATTATTAAGTGTTAACCAATTTAGCACTTCAATCAAATTGAAGATTGTTCATTCTTTAGTGTCAATTTTAGAGTCAAATTACGTATTAAACAAGTAATGTCACTTTCTTTCTATTAAAGGTGGCAAAAGAAAAATTGGACCACCTTCCAGATTAAAAAGACCACAACCAATTTATAAGTTAAGGAAGAACAAACACGTACTACCATATGTTAACAAGACAAACGGGGACGTGACTGAGAAATGAGAATATTCTTCACACAACTAATACATGGACCTCACCAAGCGTCTACACTACGCAATCCACAGTCCACGCAAATAGATATATACTGTGTATGTATTTATATATATATATATATATATATATATATAATATATATGAATGTATTTTTATTTTAATTTTTTTATAGGATTACACATGGATTGAGTTGGAAATGAGTATTTCAGTGTTCACATCCTAGCTTTGGAGCTCAATTTGTTTCAATAAACGAGTTTGAAACATGATTTCAATTAGACTATAATTAATAATTTAGAGAAAGTTCAGTCAAGTGATATAGAGAATTATTGTTATTTCAATTGTGGTGATTCATTTTCGGATTTATTATAATTGAAAGTTAATTCGTTTTCCGTTTCAGATAGTAATGGTATGTGTTTTGATAATAAAATCATGACCGTTGATGTTCTTTGATAAAAAGAAGGGTACAGATGAAAGCAGGTGTGACTTATATATAAGAATGTTTTGTACAGGATTATGGAGTTCAGTTGTTGCTGTATCGTACACCGTACCTGGTAGATATGGTGAATGGAAAGGCGGGTACGGTTTTGAAGCTTGACTCGATCCAAAATGGGAACGCATGGAGGGGGATGGACATGCTGATATTCAACACGTGGCACTGGTGGACCCACACCGGAAGCAGCCAACCGTAGGATTGATCTACAAACTTGTGTTTTGATTAAATGTGATATAAGGAAGGTTTAATCCAATGAACTTTATTTGATTGCAGATGGGATTACATTCAGGAGGGGAACAAATGGTACAAAGATATGAACCGTATGATTGCTTATTACAAAGGACTCACCACATGGGGAAGATGGGTCAATCTCAACGTTGACCCTTCCAAAACCAAAGTCTTCTTTCAAGGGATTTCCCCCACCCATTACTTGTAAGATGTAACTCCTTCATGCATCCTCGTGTTTATTATTTAAATATACTATGTAGTTCATATATATATATATATATATATATATATATATATATGATGCAATTTTGCAATTTAGTTCACATATATAAACGTTACTATATATATATATACACACATACACACACATTCATTCGTGTTTATGTGGGTAAATGCCTTTATAAGCATGTAACTGCAAAAACACTACATTCAAATCTAGTCCCTGATTAGTGTATTTTACGTAGGCACACACATATGAGCATGTGAATGCGTATATACCAATAAATGAATTTATAATTGCACCACCTATATACTACCAACCTTCCGTTAATAGAGTGAACATGCTTTACTTAATTTCTTGGTGTTTGAGATTTAATTATCTTACTATTTTAGATCTAATTTGCACGACACATGCTTACATATAAAGACGTGTGTGTGTATATATATATATATATATATATATATATACTTATATTTTCATATGAATCCCCCCACCTCACATAGCTGTCACAATGTGTGATGGAATTACTTGGAAGCATGAATGAATTAGCAGGTAGAGTAGTGATAACACAATTAATATATAATGTATATATAGACTTACAATGGTATGGTTAACTTGGATGTGGAAGCAGAGGAAGGGAATGGGGTCAACCAACAAAGTCATGCACTGGTGAGACACAACCATTCATGGTGGCAAAGTACCCTGCAGGCATACCTGAGGCTGCAGTTATCGTGAACAAAGTGTTGAGCCGGGTGAAGAAGCCGGTCTACTTGCTCGATGTCACCACTCTCTCTCAATACCGAAAGGATGCACACCCCACCTGGTACGGTGGAGGTGGCCGCACCACCACCGACTGCAGCCATTGGTGTCTTCCAGGCTTGCCCGATACTTGGAACCAGCTCCTCTATGCAGCTCTCTTTAGTTGACCCCATTAGACGTCTACTTTAGTTTCAATTTCATTTTTAATTCAAAAACCAACCATTAATTGTTTCCTATTTTCCCATGTAAATTGGGCAATAAAAAAAAAAAGGTGATGCATGATGGATGATGCATCAATTGTAAAGTAGGTTATATCGAGATTGTTTTTGGCACAAAGTTTATTGCCTACATTTTAATCTTAAGCAAATGCCATGAGAATTGGATGTACCACTATATATATGTGTATGTATATATAATATGAGTTCAAACATCATTCATACTCCCGTTACGATTACATGAAGGTTTTTGAGAGATGGATAAATTGTGAAAGCGCCACAACATTATGCGCATAAAGCAACTGCTAAAACTTGTTACACGACCCACACATCTAATTTAGTCGTTTGGGGAGCCCATAAGCTAAACCAACACCCCTTCTTTTGTAAGGCATCTACATCAGTTCTGCTTAGTTATAAATAAATAAATACATATTTAAGCATAGATCCATAAGAAAGCTAAACCGACACCCCTTCTTTTGTAGGGCATCTACATCAGTCCTGTCTCCTCGCCCCAGCCCAACACTGTTGGTCAATTTCTTATGGGTCTATGCTTAAATATGTATTTATTTATTTATAACTAAGCAGTACAGAGAATATAATTTATTCAACTTACATTTTGTTTTTGGGTAAAATAAAAACAGTGTTTTTACTATTGGAGTGTTTTAGCAAAAATCGGAAGCACGTTTGGGAACGATATTTTGTTATGGAAGTGTATGAAATAGAAACATGAAAAACCTGTTTGGTTTTGTTATGGAAGTGTATGAAATAGAAACATGAAAAACCTGTTTGGTAAGCCATACGTTTCAACATGTTTAGTAACTCTAGCTGTTGTATAAAAAATAAAATAAAATAAAATAAATAAATAAAAATAATAAAAACATGTTTGGTTATCATTATTTTTAATTTATTTTTATAAATTTTAAATATGTTTATAAATTTATTTCTATATAAATAGTCTATATATTTTTAATAAATATATTGAAATTTAAACACACAAACATATATATATATATATATATATATATATATATATATATATATATATATAACCAAAGTGTAATTACAGAAGCAACTGCTTCAGCGAGACCAATGTTTTGGCATCAACTTGAGTCTTGATGACATGTAGAGTTCCATCTTTTTACTGTGTTCTTATGATCTAGATATTAAGATCACCTTTTTCATTTCTAATCCATCTATTTGGAGTCAAACTTCACAAAACATCTATCAGGAGTCATAAAAAAAAAAAAAAAAAAAAAAAAAAAAAAAAAAAAAAAAAGGGGCCCTGCTAGAATGGAAGCTTGCAAGGAACCTTCTCAAATCATACTCATTCTTCTGTATTAGGAAAAATGACAAATAAATTGAGAACAAATTAAACAGGAGATATAATTCAAAGTTCAAACACAATTCACTTCATTATCTACAAATTTCAACAATATGATTCAAAAACGAAGAAAAAGATGCTTAACAAATAAAAAGATATTTCCTTATGTTTTCCTTACAGGAGACATACTTCAAAAAACACAAATTTCACTTCCATGGAACAAACTTCAATAGTAGGATACGTCATCTTCATAACAGCACCCATCACCTTCAAGAGAGTATCAACACACTTCACATCTGTAATGGTAGAATTTAAGTTGAAAAATATTAACAATAATATCAGCCAGTAATAATAAAAGCAAATAGTAACGGTAAAAATGATATATGTTACATATATATATTACAAGCCCACAATAACAACAAATATATTTTAATTTAAAAGAAAAAACATACCATCAATTTCAGGAAGATCAAGAGTGCCCAATAGAATTCCAGATTCGATCAACAATAGTACTGCGCAACTAATCCATTTCTCGAGGAAGATCGTCACCATCAAATAAATCATCAAGCTGATATTGATTTCTAATGAAGTTGTGTAAAAAACACATCGGCTGACGGGATTGAAGCCCAGGTCTCCATGGCAACAACTTATTTATTAAAAAAACTATCTTATAATTCTAGGTAAAGCTAAAATATCTAAAACCCATACGACAAGTGGAGTCCTAGGGCACAATACATTGTAGGACAATAAAGCATCATAAGTATATTTGTGCTAAAAAAATTAAGCCAAAAAGAAAAAAACAAAAAGAAAATATTAAAATCAAATAACAGCATATCCCTCAAAATGCCTATTATCTACCTAGCATGAACTCGTGGTTCATCAACCTCATCAATGAGCTTGCAAGAGAGAGCACCAAATTTTACAAGTTCCATGCAAAAATTCAGATTACTAAATAGTTTATCATTGGGATATGAACATGTAAAAGCAAAAAATTTCCAAGATTCTGTTTAAAAATTAGGAATCTAGAGTGAATCAAAATTTTGACTCTTACAGGTTGATTCAAAATATATAAAAATTCAAATAAGCAATGCGAAAGATTCCAACTTTTCTTCTCTTTTCCTTAATCTTGGAAACAGAAAGGGAAAAGAAAAAAGAAAAAAAAGAAGAAACATAAGGATAACAAGGAAATAACTACAAAACATATAAATTATTTAGAAATTATGAAAATATTTATTGAAACACAGTGATAGATCAGATTGGCCCGTTCTGCCATAAGTACCTCCGTATTCCGCTGAGTAGGATTCGACAATGGGTTTGAGTCAGTGATTGGAAAACTTCCTTTTCTCGATCTTGAGTCGCGTAGAAATTCAATTACAGGAAATGAAATAAACCTTTTAATCCTCTTCCTCAGGTTTTCCCAGCAACCAAATGATTTAAACTAAAAATCCCCAATATATCAGAGTAGAAACTAACAAAAAGGAAAAAAAAAAATTGAAAAACAACAACCAAAAATCAAAGATTCACAACAGAAATTGTTGGGTTTTTTTAATATAGTTGTAACCCAAAGGAAGCAGGAGAAATAAACCAAAAAGCATTTAAAAGGTAAATTTTTCAGAAACAAAATCCATAATAGTTAATATCAATTAAAGCACACAATTAACACAATCAAATAAATTTTCCTCAGTTTTTCCAAGTAACCAATGAAAAATAAGTTTGAAACCACAAATCCACAAAATAACAATGCAGCAACTAACCGAAAGCATTCATCATAAATTGTTCTAGATGTTCTAATCAACACATTACCAAAACTGTGCAATTTCTTCCATCAATTTTTCCCAAAGCAAATTAGAAATAAAATTAAACCACAAGCTTTTCAATAATCACAAGAGCAATTAATTTAATGGATCAAAACTGAACTTTAATCCACAAATATCAATATAAATGCAAAGAAATTTGATTGAAGAAAAACTAATCCGGGTAAACTTATAACAAGAAATGAACAAGAAATTTTTTTATGTGTACATGTCACATAAACAGGAACAATAAAATAAGACAACAGCCAAATAAACCCTAATTTTAAGAACGTTGAACTTCTTATCTTAGGTTTTCTCATTTATTGGAACACTAGCCAACATGAACCTCCCCTTTAACAAACCCTAGTTTTATATCACAGAAAGACAAAAAATACAAGAAACCCATGTCAAATTTCATGCCAAGCTAAACAAATGCAAACAAAGATTTCTTAAGAACACCAAATCCACATAAACACAATAAAGAACTTACAGTTTCCTCTGCTTTTTCATCAACCAAACAGAGGGAAAATGCAAGAAACCCACCCAGACGTCAAACTTTATAGTCGCGATTTCGCTCTCTCCCTCTCAGTAGTAGTTGCAGATTTGGAAGTATTAAGTAAAGCAACATCAAAGGAAACAACAAAGGAAAGGTCTTTGAACCGGAGAGAAATAGAAGATAAAGTACTCACAGTCGCGATTCCTTTTCGTCGCCTCCCAAATCGCCAGAGTCTAGGGTTTCAGAGGAGAGAAAAAAAATCGGGCCGAATGTTGCAAATGCCTTTTAAAGTTACTTCCTCCGCTACAGTGTTAGACCCAACTTACTTTATCCGCTACAGTGCTTTTTATTGGGCTACAGTATTGAAACAACAAAAAACACCATTTTGGTGTTTCATTTTTGGGCCCAAATTTAGTACTGTTTAAAACAATGTTTTAGTATTGTTTAAAACAAAACAATAGCTACCAAATATGTTTTTGGGCCTGAAATGAAGCCCTGCAATAAAAACACCAAAGTAAAACAGTTAACTAACAGCCCTTTATTAACTAAACACCAAGGCCTTGTGACTTATAAGTAGGGCTGCAATTCGGGCGAGTTGGGCGGGCTCGGCACTTATCTCTGGTTAGACTCATCATATAAAAAATCTTCAGCCCAAGCAAGGGCCGAGTTGCCCAAGCCCAACCTATACATAATTTGTCCAGCCCGAGCCCACACTAAACCCACCTCAGAAGAATTTGTGTGTAACAAATAAATCAATTAATGTTACATGACTTGAACCTAAAACTTTAAACATAAATCTCAAGCACACTACCAACTTAGTTACTACACTCTTGTGATTTAAGTATAATTATAAATATATATAATATTTTTGCGCTCAGGTTGGGTTTCAGGTTTCATCCATATCAACTCAAGCTCAGTCCGAATTGAATTCAGGCTCAAAATATATAGTCCGGACCCAAACCAAAATTAGAAAAACATTGCCCAAGTCCACAAAATTTTGGGCTGGGCTCGAATTATTTGGAGTTGGATCCGCTCGAGTTGCAACCCTACTTATAGGTATAACACTCCACGTAAATAATCTACACATCATTTTCTCATCAAATTGAAACACAAATAATTTATTCTTTTATTTTGGTTGTCTCTTGGTTCCACAAAAATTATGGACCTTCTAATTTTTTATTCTCTCAAAATAATTATTCCAATTCAAAATCTAATATACTATTTTTTAAATATTTTTAATTCATCCTTTTTGTTCCTATCATTATAATAAAAAATAAAAAATAAAAACTACACTTAAAAAGTTAAAATTTTCAAAAAGAAATATTTTTGTGGGAGTAATAAAGTTTAAAATTACAAGTTGAGTTGCTCCAGAAGTGAAAATTGAAGTTGATTAGTAGTTATCCATACTAAAAAAAAAAAAAAAAAAACAGCTAAGCATGTATCCTTTGATGCCGCAATCCATATCCCAGCGTGACACGTGTGATTCACGAAGCTGCTGAGTCACGGTTGGAGTCTCTTGAATGTCAACACGTAGCTCAAGAGCAGCACCACTTGTCCACTGTGTCTGAAGTGAACCAGTAATGTGGATCACTTCGAACCACGGCCGTAGCCCTCCTCTGCTTTCTATAACTATCATCTTCCTCATTCTTCTTGTGTCACATACAAACTCGCATTCATCAATCACATACTTTTGCAATCCTTCGCGCAAACAACAATGGCTTCAGAGAAGGCCAAAAGGGAGAATACAACCAACGAGGTGGAGAAAGACATAGTCCCCAAAATGACTACCCATTTCGAGTCTCTTGCTGACAAAGTTGAAGGCCTTAAATTTGGTGGTGGCGAAGAAGGCGAACAAAAGAATGAGAAAGAGAGGAAAAGATCAGAAACCACCCATAAAGAAGAGATACCAAGAGGAGTGGGCAAATTTGAAATTCACGATGAAGAAGAGGAGAAGGGTTCGGGTACAGACATGAAAGCCCAAGAAAGTGAAGCTGATAAAGAGAAGAGTGGAAGCTTTGACAAGGAAGGTGGTGGTGGTGAGCAGAGAGATAGGCCTTCACTTGCTGAGATATCAAAGTACAGAGCAACAGCACAGCAGAATTCCATGGAGGCCATTAGAGCTGCCGAAGAACGATACCAGAAGGCTACGGAATTAGGCTCTTCAGCATTGGAGAACGTCAAGGAAAAGGGTGCCCAAGCAAAGGACACTGCCAAGGATACCCTTGCCAGTACAGCCAAAACCACGGCCGAATACACCACGCAAACAGCAAAGAAGGCTAAGGAGGTAGCCGTGGAGAAGGCAACAGTGGCAAAGGAGGTAGCCGTGGAGAAGGGAAAGAGCGCGACTGGGTATGCAGGGGAAGTAGCTGAGACTGTGAAGGACAAGGTGGTTGTGGGCGGTTGGGGAGCGACACATTATGTGTGCGAGAAGACTGAGGAGGCAACAAAGCCTGCAGCGAATGTGGCTCAGCAGGTTGCAGGGTATGCAGGTGAGAAGGCGGCTGCTGCTAAGGATACTATAGTGGCCACTGAGGAAAGTGCTAAAGAATATGCAGCCAGGAAGAAGGTGGAGGCTGAGAAGGAATTGGAAGCTAAGAAGAAATCAAAGGTAAATTTTATTTATTAGTGTTCGAATTAAAGCAATGCCTTTTCATATTGTTGATCTATATGTGTTTTTTTTTTCCCCCTTTTATATATTACTTGACATAACAAGTAAGTGTCCCAATTGTAGATGTGTGTGTGTTTTATTTATGTTGTGAACATTCAGGGGGAAGGAGGCGGCCAAGAACCTAGTGAGGAACAACAGGGCATTGGACTAGGGGGCAAAAGAGAGGATGAGAAAGAGGTGAAATCTAGGGAGAGCATCCAAGAGTTTTCTGAGGGAGGAGGATCGGAAAAGGGAAGAACGGGAGGAGGTGGTGGTGGTGGGGTGCTGCAAGCCATCGGCGAGACGATAGTGGAAATTGCGCAGACAACTAAAGAGCTTGTGGCTGGACGGGAGCCAAATGAAGGAGGAGGGAAAGGCAGCTATGAGAGTGGTCAATGGGATGATAGCAAGTAAAGCAAAGGAAAGGCAGCTATGCAAATAAAGTAGTGTAACTATGAGTTTCTGACGTTTTGGGGTGTTTCCTGTTGAGGACGAGTGAAAGTGCTTTTCTGTTTTGGTTGATGTTTCAAATAAATTGGTATGAGATATAGTGTACATATATGTTGAAAAGGTGAATTATACAAAGGTTTGTTTATTATTTAGAATGAGTTATGATTTTTTTTTTTTTTTTTTTTTCCTTTAAGTTTTCCTTGCTCTAATTTCGTTTGAAGTTGATTTTATAATTCAAACCTTGATAAAAAGGAACAGGATTTTAGTTTGGGACCCTTTTTGGTTTTGTTGGAAGGAATCTGAGAGTAGCCTGCACCCATGGCCATGGGCATACGGCTTGGCATGCCTTTCCTTTCCTCCGGAGAGAGATTTAGGCATGCGTCTTCAACAATTTCTTTGGTTTGCTCTTGTTTTGGTGACTTTTATTCGATTCAAAAACAGCGAAATTCTTAAAATTGGATCAATTCGAATCAAACGCCAAGTATATGTATATATACTCATCTAATTTATTGGTAATATTTTGTTAACATAAATTTGCTTTACTATATCCGAATCCTAAATCATTATTTTTTTTTTTTTTTTTTGAATACTTCACAAACAAGCCCTTAGTAATTATCTGTTCTGTCAATATTTTTTATAACAGGTGAACACACATTTTACTCTTTTTACTCTGAAAATAAATTAATTTCTTTTGATTATCTTTTCCAATAAATGCGTGACATGAATATGTAAAAATTATTAATATAATAATGGATAAATCGCACTCACTCCTCAGACAGATTTGAATTAACGTCACTCAAAACATGATCAACTAGTTTATATTGACACCTTTAAAATTTCAAGAAGTCATATTTACCTCGAACCTAATAATAATACTAGTAGTCTCCAAGTGACTTCTCTATATAATCAGTGTCAAGTCCTAAGCCTTCTGATATTGCACTTGCTATCTTCAGTTGAAACTTCCAAACCTCCTCTAAATATACATTTGCTATGTACCTTTAATTGACAGATCGATTTGGGTTAATTTTGTAAAACGCAAATTGAGAAAAATTAATGATTCATTTAAAGATCTATCTATTTAATTAGCTGTAGTTAGAGGGATTGGTGGGCCAAAGATGAATGCTACTATGTAAAGGACGGCAACGAAGCCTCAAATTGTTCCTCCAGAGGAGATCATTTTTCGTGGATGTAATCACACTCGTTCCACACCTAACAGCTGGATTCATCACATCGTCCGAAGCATATTTCATCAGACGGCAAAGAAGCCTCAAATAGTCCCTCCAGAGGACATCATTTTTCGTGGATGTAATCGCACTCGTTCCATACCTAATTCATCACATCGTCCGAAGCATATTTCATCTTCTCTTCAAAAGAGAGATTCCAGTGCAGCTACCCAAAGCCCATCCATGGAATTCTTGGGAAGATTTCAATGCTGGTGGCAGTAGGTGACACTCACAAGAGGCTTAGAAATGTGGCTCTCTCCCTAGTCACCACCACCAAATCAAACCCTCAGTGTTTAAATGACATAGAGAGGACAGCCATTGACATACTTGATTCATGGAAACATAAACACCAAGTCACTTTCTGTAAAGAAGCTAGAAAGGTATACATATATGTATATGTTCAATATTTTATACCATCTTTTAATATAATGATCACTGAACCATCAAATTAATAGTCTCATATGTTTTGGTTGTTTTGAATTTGCGTGTTACAGTTTACATTCAATGTAATAGTAAAGCAAGTGCTAGGTTTAACACCAGATGAGCCAGAAACTGCAAAATAACACCATACCCTCTCTGTCTCTCTCCTCCCTAACACCACCCACCACCATACCCTCTCTGCCTCTCTCATCAGAAGCACCACCACCACCACTCTCCAATTAGAGGCAAAATCCCTCTGCTAAAACGACGAGTCCATACGCAACCACCCACACACATACATACTCTTCGACTATGGTGGCAATCAAGATGTCCTCGATGCGTTGACGCTTCAGATCGGGGAGTGAATCGCTAATTCCTTGAGATGGCTCGCTGTTAGGGACGTCGGCTAGCGAATCACTCGCCATCACCGCCACCCGACCACCACTGCCCTTCACGCGCGCTTTACGTGTTTGATTTGAGGTCGGATCGAGGAGCTCCCCGATCTGAAGTGTTGTGTGGTGGTTGTGGCGGTGGGTGTGTTGTGTTTTATGTGGCGGTGTGCAAGGGTTGTGGCAGTGGGTGTGTGGGGCGGCAGAATGTGGCATTGTGGGTGTGAATTGTTTGGCTGTGGGTCTGTGGTTGTGGCAGAGTATGTGCGTGGCGTTGTGGGTGTGGTTGTGGCGGTGGTTCTGTGGTTGCGGTGGTGGGTGTGGCGGTCTGTGGTTGCAGTAGAGTGTGGTTGTGGTGGGTGTGGTGTTGTGGTTGTGGCGGTGGGTTTGTGGTTGCGGTGGTAGGTGCGGCAGAGTGTGGCGGTTAATAGGTTCAAGAGTATGGCGGTTAATAGGTTCAAGGGTAAATATAACTTTTGAAATCTCAAGGGTATCAATGTAAACTAGTGTATTGATCGTCTGTTGAGTGGCGTTGACCCAAACCTCAGAGAGTGTGAGTGCAATTTACCTTATAATATATAAGTTATAATTTTTGGTCATTTTATGCTGGTAAATAAAATTATTAATTTGGAACTTAAAGCTAGATCACTATTATTTTTGTTTTCTTAAATTATATATATATATATATATATATATATATATATTTTTTTAAAAATCATAATATATTTTAAATTTCATTTTGTTAAAAAAAATTAATAATTACAAAATGATCTCATCGCATTAGAAAAGTGTTCAAATCGTGTTTTATCCGTGTCCAATCAAAAAATAAAATATTCAAATTTCAAGACAGTTATCGCCATACAAGCGTACATGTATCTTAGCCTAACATAAGTATGACACATGTTTGAGTGTCCATGCTTCCTTGGTTAATACTATATTTTTCTTTCCTTCTGCTATTCTATTCCAAACACAAGTGCGAGTGACCAACACTGTCCCTCCTGTCTTTCATTTCCCTTCATTATCCTTTTGTTTCTTTTCACTCGTAATTAACTTTTGAGGTATATTTGCACTTAATTGTATTTGTGCTATAACAATAGTTTGCCAACACAGAGAACATGCAATCTGCCTTTTACACCAACGACCTAAATATAAAATATATCTACACATATACCGCACTCGCACATTTATGCTGACAATAACTGCTTTGCGAGGCAATGTTTATAGTTTTAACCGCAAAGGTCGGGTGTGTGTTATAGTAATGAACATATATGATGGATGTTATAACAAAGTTAAAAGGAACACAAAAACCTGACATAATAAGACTTGTTTCTACAGTGAGAAAAGAAATGGTGGGGAGTGTGGCTCAAAGATGGAGGCTGCTCAGCGGCCAGTACAACTGGAAGAAACTCTTGAACCCTCTTGACAAGGATCTCCGACCATACATCATTCACTATGGCGAGATGGCTCAGGCAACCTATGACACTTTCAACTCTGATAAAGAATCAAAGTATGCCGGAAGCAGCAGATACTCAAGGAAAAATCTCTTCGCCATGGTCGGTCTCACATTAGGCCACCCATATCGGTATACATGCACAAAGTACGTGTACGCAATGTCTCGTGTCGGTGTCCCAGAATCATTCATCTTCAAATCGTCGTCAAAGGAGGCTTGGTGTCAGCAATCCAACTGGATGGGGTATGTCGCGGTGGCCACAGATAAGGCGAAAGTGGCACTGGGTAGGAGAGATATATTGGTAGCCTGGAGAGGGACAGTGCAGGAATTGGAATGGGTTAAAGACTTTGATTTCCCATTGACATCAGCTGCTAAGATACTCGGGAAAGAAGGCAATCCTCAAGTGCACAGAGGATGGCTTTCTATTTATACTTCAGATGATCCACATACACGATTCAATAAAGTTAGTGCTCGTGAACAGGTGAATGCCAACATGCATGTCCGTCATGGAATTGTTTTTATTTTAATTTTTAAACTGACATAAGTTCAACTAGGAAGAAGAAAAAAACTAGGAAGAAGAAAAAAAAAAATTCCCTGACATAAGTTCTCGTGGTTAATGTAATTGGAGTTGTTTTTATATTGGTCATTACAGTTGATTTTTTATAACTATATATAAATTAATAGGTCGTATAAAAGATACTTTTGATAAACATATTGGGATAATACGAGGACATGAAAATGCTAGAGAAGTGAGTAAGAGGTTTTAAAGCAAGTGCTATATACAAAACTTTCTTTGAAAGGGAAATAATGAAAGCATAAGAAAGCCAATGGGGTTGCCACTTAGCTAAGTGGCTGAGGAAGAGGAGAAAAAGGTAATCACCACATCTAGCAAAGAGAAGAGAAGGCGGCGAGGAAGATGAAACATCCCTCATATCTTTCAGGATAGGGTCTGTGTGATTTAATTTTCTAAGAGAAGGTTTTCAACTACTCTTATAATGATGATTTCAAGTAGTTTCATAGAATGTGATGTTCAAAGAACTAAAACAAAATTATTTTTTGGAGCTAATATTTTGAACTTTTCGATAGAAAACTTTCAAAAGATTGACATCTAAAATGTCTATTATTTCTTCAGCTAACTGAAGCAAGTACACCTTATGGCTCTTTTTAATATTCCACTAACAGAACCTATTCCCTATTTCAGTATTTTATGAGACCATAAACAAAATTAAATGCAAGTCTTCCTTAAGCTATATATCATCCAAACTAACCTTCATGACCCTTTTGACTTCCACATTCTAGGTTCTAACCGAGGTGAAGAGACTAGTTGAACAATTCAAGAATGAGGAAATCAGCATAACTATAACCGGCCACAGTTTAGGGGCGGCCCTCGGAACGCTGAATGCAGCTGATATTATGGCCAATGTATTAAACAAGCGACTTGACATGTCTAAAAAGCCCTGTCCTGTAACAGCCTTCCTCTTTGCCAGCCCACATGTTGGGGACTTCCAATTTCGAAATGTGGTGCAGTCTATGAAAAATCTTCATTTTCTACGTGTGAAAAATGTCCCAGATATCGTTCCTTATTATCCGATGTTCGGATACACAGATGTGGGGGAAGAACTAGTGATTGATACTCGAAAGTCCAACTTCCTGAAGAGTCCTGGAAATTTCACGACGTGGCATAACTTGGAGACTTATCTGCATGGAATTGCAGGAACACAAGGGCCTCAAAGAGCGTTCCATTTGGATGTTAAACGGGACATTGCACTAGTGAACAAATCAATTGATGGTCTTAAAGAGGAGTACATGGTGCCTGCTTCATGGTGGTGTGAGAAGAATAAGGGAATGGTTCAACAAAATGATGGGTCTTGGAAGTTGGAGGATCATCAGAATGATGATAGTGAGGAGGTTGACTACTGAAGTAGATGAAATACATAGAAAAAAAGTTGCAACATGAAGAAGCAGCACTCTTCCACGCCATTACAAAGATAAGATCAGTTATTTATGCAAACTATTATTGCTAATTATAGTAAATCTTTCCAATTAATTCCATGTCTCTAGTCAGCTAAGTATGCCCATAATGTTGTGAAAACATTGATACTTAATATCACAAAGCTTTTAGAGTTTTAATTGTTCCAAAAGCTTAAATTGTTGAAGAATAAGGCCAAAAAGTTCCAAGACCTCTAGAACTATAAAACTCCAGTATTATAATAGACTAACAATGGCCCAAAAGCATAAATTGTTAAAGATGAGAGGCACATATCAAATCAATATAAAACACGCTGTAAATACACATATGGTATAGTTCAATATAGTGATCATATATATATTACTAATACATATACATATATATATTAATTATGTACGCACAAATAATCAAGAAGAAAATATGAAATGGACATCCAATATTCAGTTCAAAGAAAGGGATTTCAAGGCAATACACAGAAACCAGTAATGTAGCAAAAGAAAAACTCTAATATATGTAAATTGAATGTACAGCGGCCTAGGGAATCATAGTATTACCATTAATTAATTAGAACACACAGAGAGATTAAGAAGGAAGGAAGTGAAATACAGTAAAGAGTGTTGGTTCTAACAGGGGATCTGAGAAGTGAACCACTCGATGACATGAATTGGGGCTTTGATAAGGTCTAGAGCAAGTTCCACTAACACCGTCACACACAGACAGCATGGGCATATGCACGTCAGCACCAACCTGCAATGTAATGTATCGTCAATAAATCAAGATTATTAGATGAAATTGGAAACCCTAATAGACAGAGGGGGAGAGAGAGAGAGATATTTAAGAGTGGAAGGCAAGCCTACCCGACGATCCAAACGACTATTCCGACGACGGAGATGATGAGGGAAAGGAAGGCGAAGGGCAGTCCCAGAAGAAAGCCCAGAGGTCTGCAATCATCGTCTCCACAGCACATTATGATCTACTTTCTCTCTCTACAATGAATTGCTTCAACTGAAGGCTAATGGTAAGTCGTATAGTCTCTTCTCTCTTGTTTGTTTACTGTGAAATTATACCCAGAAAAGAGAAGGAACATGGGTGCGTGCGAGTGGGAGTGGGTCATTAGACATCATGTAGGCGTTTCCTTTGCGTTTGCTCTAAGCAACATCGGTGTTGTCATCCGATATAAAAAAGGTAAAGCCAACGCTTTCATTGAACCACTTTGACACCAAAGGATTCCCAATTTCCACCCCCACAAAAGGCATTCTCAGCATTCTCATTTTATCACTTGTTAAAAGTTGCTTTCGGCTTCCCACTCTCTTTTTAACTTAGGAAGCATATATCCAAAAACTTTTGTGAGGAGTGGCGGCATTTTAATTCGTGGGCAAACTTATATAGTGAATTTATTTTTATAATTTTAATAGAGTTTTCTTTATAAATTTTTAAAAATTTAAAGTATAAAATACAAAAAAAAAAATAATAATTGAGTAGGGAAAATTGTAATTTTAATGGGGGCATTTTCATAAATTCTTAAAAATTTAAAGTAAAAGATAAAAAATAAAAAAAATCAGTGGGGGCGAATTGTAATTTTAGTAGGGGCATCTTCATAAATTCTAAAAAAATTAAGGTCTAAAATGAAAATATAAAAAATCCAATGGGGGCATCTGCTGATTCTACGCTAGGTCCGTGCTTGGAAGAACGAACACTTCTACTAAAGAGTCGTATACGTGTCGGACACCGACACTCCTCAAATACTTATTCAACAATTCATATACATGTTCATAAAAAAAATTTAATTTTATTATTTCGAACACTTTCTGAACACTTCACCAATATTTTCCTAGACATTTCTAACACTCCCTGGACACTTCATTGACACTTTCCTAGACATTTCTAACACAAGTCTACCGAGTAATCTTGAAAATAGTATAAATATTATCATGACAATGTAGTAAAATAATAATATATATGATATAAAAATCATTACAATAGTGACATAATTTTATTTTCTAATTCATTTCATAGTAACTAAATTATAAATGAATTAAAGTTTTATAATCCTATTTATCAATAAATGCATAAATATAAAATTTTACATTTATATGTAGCCGTGCATGTCCACGCTGTATCCGTATCTTATTTTTTAAAAATTTGACATATCGACGTATCCATATCCGTGCTACATAGCTTCAACCAATTTTCACTAATATACTATTTCAATTCTATTTTAGTTTCCCACAGTTATCAAGCTGTGATCAATGATTTTTACCCGGAATAAAAAAAAATAAAACTGTGATCAATGCGATGGTTGAGGGAGATTCAAACTATGATAATGGAATCAAAGAACAAGAATATTTTCAATCGTCAATATGGAGAGAGAGGGAATATATATATGCAATCCATAACCAATCCATTTTAATGTAATAGATAGATCAATAAAACAAAACAATAATCGTCATTAAAAAAATAACGTTACGACTTAGAATCACGTCTTTGTTACCCGACCTTACAGTAGGTCAGATAATCAAGGGTAATGTGGTAAGAATAAAAATCTCAATCCTTTAAACAAGAAAAATGGTCACTAATACACTGTTTAGAGAACATGAACAAGGACAACGATTGTTTGCTCAGATATTAGACCAAAGAAATCTACTCATTCTTATAACATAAGTAATTTTTATCATTAAATCCTCCATCTGTTAGTTTGGATGAAGTGAGGTTGATTGATATTTACACAAATATTATGTTGTTACTTTCATTTGAACTTGTCTTCTTTTCTCAATTATCACGCTCTGTATCATTTTTGAGCTTGAGAAACTTCAACTCCATGACTGGGTGAGCAAGGTTTATGTCATAGACCCTCATCACAAGGGAAAGACCACTTCAAAACAATGAATTCTATCAAAGCTGCACAGACCACTTCAAAACCAGACTTTCAATTATCTGTAGCCTCTCACCCAATTCAGCAAGAATTAGGATTGCATCAAATTGGCTTTACTGTGTAGCCTGTCATATCATAAATCCAAATAACTCCCCTTAGTGGAGATGAAAATGCAACCAAACAGGGGATTCTGTTTCACACCCATTTGCTCACAGCAAAAAGAACATGTTATCCAATTTGAGCTGATTCTGCAGAACAATGATCATCCAGGGGGACTATTCATACTTGAGTTTTCTTTTTCCATAGAGATTATGCAAGCAAGTCGTTCATAAACCTGTCAGTAACATTTCAAACAATATCATTTGCAAGAAAATTCTAAAATTAACTTCATATGTGCAAAGTTCCCAAATCATATACCTCAGAAAGCTGCCCGTTATCCTGTTTATTGGTAGATGATGCGTCATACCTGCACAGCAGACGAGACATAGCTTATCAAAAAGAGCCGCATCTATGACGCATAAATAAAATAAATTAAGTCCATACTAGCTGCTATACAAGGAAAAAAAGATTCTATCTCCACTAAATGTTTTACATGCTGTCATGGTAGCAGTGGCAAGGACTCGAGGTGTATTACATGTTACATCTTATGTCATAGACATTGACATCGAAGCTGTAATTTTTTATTTGATACACTACTACTCAACATACCAGTGATATGCATGAATAAACCCTGGACTCCATTTAATTCCGGCTTTATTGTTTTTATTGTGTTCAACTTATAAACATGAATTATCAGTGGAAAGCACCCCGACAAAGAAGGTGGGGCGAAGAAAAGAATAAATTGAATTCTCTCACCAGTCTCGCGGAATTCCTGCTTCATCTCTAGCTGAATAATTGAAGGGTCCTTTGAGCTCCACATTGTACTCTCTTAACAAGTCTGCAAGATTACAACCAACAAATAAAAGAAAAGAACATCATCTTGCACGCAATTCACAGAATTAATATGGTAATAATATTAATGCTTGGGCTCTCTGACACATCCTAACACCAAAAGTCCTTTGTTGGGAAGTCCCTTACAGGAAGAACTTTGTTACAAGGAATCAAAAGGAAAAAGAAAAAATGTTTGGCAAATGGATTTTTCAGAAGTCCTTTTAATTAAGAAGTTAATGTCTAAAAACCATGACTACAAGAATAACTTTCAGTTTATAGGGTTGCCCTTTAACTTCATAAAATATTTGATATAAACAAGTTCATGCATAATTTGCATGTATATCATAAAAAAATAAATAAATAAATAAACACACACACACACAAACAAAACATATGAATGGAGGATGAGACAGAAGGGGGCAGATTACAAGATGTCATCTTACACTAATTAGATAAATCTCGTTCCTCCGTGTTGTTATCTCTGTATTTAGCTCTCTTTCCTTATTTTTCTTTAAGTATTTTGCTTTTGGTGTTAAATAGAAGCAGTAGGAATTTCTACTAGATGGATAACTAAGGTGTTTTGTTATTCACATTAAGAGAAAAAAATTTGAGGACAACTTCAATTTTATGTGCTGGGTTGTCAGTTGAATGGTTTGCTTTCAATTGTTTAATGTGGCCGAGATAAAGATGAATGGAAGGACAGAATGCAAGGTACTCACTGCAATGGGCATAACACAAACACACGCACAGAAATTCCGACAATGCCAAAGTGCCAACCTTACACAGTAAGATATGCAATTTTCAAAACTGACAAAGACCTTAGGATTTATACAGGTTTTTCAGGTTTAATGAAGATGATAACGATGAAGAGATGGGTAATTCAGGTTTTTCTTCTTCTGTGGAGGAGGTTTATAACATGCACACACAAGATTGTCAGGATTTATAACTATATTAAAAATTCAAGATAACGTCTTATTTGACAAATATGGAACATTACAGAATTTCCCATTATTCACTTAAAGCATATACCGAACCAATTTACTTTCTTGAAATTGACTTTGAGATACTGCCATGAAGCATCTACCATTACTGTTACTCTTACTCTTACCATTTATTTTCTTTTTATTTTTTCTCCAGTAAGTATTACTATTACCGTTACTAAATTACTAGTGCTATTGCCATTACTATTGCTGCTGCTAATACTACTACTAGTCTACTAGTACTAATCCCTTTCAAGGGCTTCCAAAAGCCCCCCACCCATACAAATACAATAACTAGAAAGAGTGTCAAGAGATTAGCAAACCTTTAAAAGTCGAGCAAGGGGTGTGACCCATTTTCTGGCAGACTGAAACAAACCAGTGGACACCAACTGCCACATGTGCAACTTCTTCATCAGCAATCCTAGCCACAATGTTGGATGTCCTACAATCTCCAAAGCCAACCAATCTTTGCACAAGCCTTGGCCCAGCATCTAGTCCTCTAGCCTCCTGTAGCAACAAAGTAAAAGAGTGACCCTCAGCTCAATAAATATAAACTAAACATTTCCATAAACTCAGATCATCCACGTTTCTACCCTTTATCATATTTAATAATTATTGAAGTTTAGTACAAGGGATGAAAGTGTAAGGTAGTTCAGAAATACATTGTTGGGCAAGGTATATAATCTAGTCTGATAACTTGTACATTTTGTGGAAGGCTTAAACTTTTACTTATTGAGTATTAAAGGTGTATATGACTTGTTAAATGAGTTGTAACAATAACAGAGTGACAGATGCTTTATGTAGCTTATAGCTATACACAAATTTCCATATCATTTTCTATTGGCTGTCAACTACCCAATATATCAAAGATATGCATGAATTAAACTCAGAATTCCATAAATTCCAGTTTTAATTATTTTTAATGGTGTTCAAATTATAAACAGGGGTAATCATGGTAGTGAATTTTATATTATCCTTTAAGTCTCATTCTGAATGGATTAGGAAACTTAGGTGATAATATATGAGTAATGCTTCTGCACAGAAGAAGTAGACAGGTGTATGGGGCACAGTTAATGGTTTGTGCATGGTTAGAGACTACCAAATATAACAATGGTATGCATGAATGAGCCCAAAACTTAAGTTTCCAAATTATTTTACTCAAAGTGGCTACTCTCATACTTGAACCCACTATCTCACGTTTCTCAGTCCAACCTTTTACCACTGCAATATGCAATGACCTCTCTTAAAATACTCATGAGTGAAGGAGTGGGCAGCAGGAGTCGAAGCATGGCATAGCCCACATTAGACTTTGTATATATTTTATGCAGAAAAGGGTTGGAAATAGAACTCTTAGATTACGAAGAAGAAGATGCAAAACAGATATGCTGAAAACCGAATGCAATGTTGAGGAAGGGGCAACTGTATTAGGTAAAATTTATGACGTTATACTGATATGGGTTTAAGATGAATGCATGTTGAATAAATCATAAGGTTAGATTTGCCTGTAGAAATCATTGCTTGGTATGGTGAAAACTTGGGTCCAAAAGCACAAGGACATATCTCAAAGTCGGATGAGAGCCGCATTGTGCAAATAATGCCAAAGGCTAGATTTGTCTCTACACTTTCCCTGCTAGTATGCCACATCACCATGACTAGTACTAGGGAATGAACTTTTTATGTTACACACTGTTATAACCTTGAGTTCTTTAAGGGACGAAAAGGAGGAAAGAAAATATATTTATAACTTAACATCTCTAAAAGGATAAGCAATCAAGTTTGACATCATTGGAACTTCAAAAACGTGGACTAGAAGAAAAAGATTACCTGGACTAATGGTATAACTGCCAAACGGGCAGCAACTTTATCGGATGACTTCTCACACTCCCTCCAAAGCAGATTATGAGCCGGCATGTCTCCATAGCTATTTACAAGGGGAGTATTGAAAGTAAGCCAAAGTAACAAAAAGGAATTATAATACCCAAATTAATAGCTCTCCTCACCCAAAACCAAGCTCAGCCAGTCTTTGTGAACACCAAGCAAAATGACGACTCTCATCATCAGCAACATGAGCAAAATCAGCAAAGAAACCTTCTCCAAGAAGATCACTATATGATGAAAACCGGACAACAGTATCCCATGCCAAATCAATAGCATTTAACTCCACATGAGCAAGATTATGTAGCATATAAGCATTAAGCGGCAAGCCAGAGTTTTTGGGAGACGGAATTTCTTTTGGGGACACCTGTATTTTACAAAAAGAGGCTAAAAATGAACAATACCACATAGCTACAAACTCAATAGCCCATGGGTGAGTAACACCCAAATCTCCCTATCATTAGAAACTCCAATTTAAATTTTCTAAAAGTTAAAATCGCCCCCTCATCAAATTGTAACTATCAATAATTAAAATATAAGAGCAATAGCCACATATATAGAAAGTTATATCCAACATAACCCCCTGAACTTGCCGGTACGAAAATATCACTACAATAAAAAGATATGAACAATACCACCATCTCCAAATCACTGAACTTTTAGTTGAAGATGTTTAGAAAGTTAAACTGAAGAAATCTCATTGTATATAACTATCAATAATAGGGAATACCCACATCTGCGAACCATTATAATCTTCAATTACACTTGGATGTTTAAAGATTTTTAGGGAAAAAAGAAGCTTCTAAAGCTTGCAGGGACTCGTAAGTCCTAATATATATATAGTACATACAAAAAAAAAAAAAAAAGAGAGCAATTTAGCTTCAATCATCAAGACCTACTAATTTTCTTAAGAAACCAGAATGAAAGACAAAATTGGATACAATATAAAGTTCAAATAAGTTAAGAACAAAAGTAAAATAAAAACTATGGGAATGAGAGAAGGAACCAATTGGGGTTTGGTAGGGCGAGCGGGTCGATCAGGCGGCACAGAAACCCCAATAGGAAGATTGTGTCGGCGCCACCTGGAGTAAGCGAGATGAGAAAGCTTCGATTTGGCAAGAGGATCACCGGTGGAGAGAACCAGAGTGCCCAATTCCGCCAGAGAAGAAGCGGACGCTACGGAACCCTCATCGACTTCAGCCGAGGAGGAAGGTGACGATGTCGGGGGTTGGGGACCGGTGGGTCCCCAAAAACGATCCTCGTTGAGAGGATTGACTCTCCATGTTTGAAGACCAGACCATTGTGGATGGTTGAAGGAAGAAGAAGAAGAAGAAGATGTGTAGGACTTAGCTTTGAAGATGGGAAGTGGGAGTTTTGAGAACCTTAGTGGTGCGGCGAGCATGGCTTTGATTTTGAGTTGATGCATTTCATCAGATGATGACGCGAGGCGTTGGACTACCACTCATCAGTTTCCAGCTCCGTCGTCTTCTATCAGTGACTTTCATAATCGCCACAAGACGATGGGAGACGTTTGGTTACGAAATTAACACTATACTCGTTTAAAATATATATATATATATATATATATATATATATATATATATATATTGCATTAAGGATTAAATTTTACTGTACTGCGGATTAAAATTCTCTCAAGTACTTTTCCAATTGAAAAATAATTTTAAAACACATTAAAAAAATATTAGAACATGCAAAACAAATATTGAAAAGTTAAAAAAATACTAAGAGTAGAAAAAACTAAAGAGAAATTTTAGAAGTGGAAAAAACTAAAGAGAGAATATATAAGATTTCTAATATAAAAAGCATAAATGAGTGAAAAAAAAAAAAAAAAAAAAAAAAAAAGTTTTAATAGAATAGAAAGAGAAAAAGTAGGAATGGCTGAAAGATTGTTTCATTTAAATACTCCCTAACATTTAAATAGAGTAAAAAAAAACTAAATTGTAAACATGGGACCCTCCGATTGAGCGAGGGCTTAAGCCATCACTTAATTAGCCGCTTAAGACGCTCTACTATTTTAACACCAAAAATTTAATTTTTGTATTGAAGAGAGGATAATTTGTAATTTTTGATAAATTGAGAATGTTTGATAAAAAAAAATAAAAAAATATAGTGTAGGGGTGTATTTTACAATTTTTTGATAGTAAAAGAAGTTTAGTGCAATTTGACCTAAAAAGTAAATTATAAAAAAGTTTAACGTATAAATTAATAATTAATTTATTTTAAGAGACCGTAAAGTAGGGAAACAAATTTTTATTGTATAAATATACATTTGGGAAAGAAGATATGTAAGTGCTTGGTGGCAATCTCTAATTAGATTCTGGTTGACCACTAAGTTTGACTATTTAAAGGATAAAACTTGGGTCCAAAGAAATTATATAATCTGAGAAATTAGAGTGAATCTGTACGGCGGCGGCGAGAAGCCCAATTAGCTTTCCTTTTGTGTAGGGACTAAGTAATATATATCTATGTGGGTCTATAAATAGTCACATTCATCAACAACTTCTCATTCTATTCCCTTAGATTTTTCGGACAACACACACTACTTCTCATTCTACTCTTCTAGATTTTTCTATTCAGTGACTTACATAGTCAAAAAGAATGGAAAGGTACGAATTCTCTAATGTTTTAATTATATATTAATTGGTATATGAGTGCATATATTAATGTATAGTTTAAAGACAATATAGTGACTATGTATAACCGTAGTTTATGGATTGACTTTATGATTCTTGAGTATTAAGTTATGGTTTTGTTAAGGTTTGCATTTTCTATAATTTTTTTTCCTTTTTTTTCCCCTGTGATGTTGGTATATGAATAAATTTTTTTCTTTTGTAGTTACATATTTTGTGTGTTGTTTCTTGTGTACTTATCTGTGTTTCTTGTGTATATATATTATTATTATTATTATTTATTTTTCTGATGGGATGGGTATGTTGATATGTAATTGAAAGCAGGCAACTGTGGATATCATGTATAGATGATCACATGGTACTCACAAGTAGTCACGATCTGCTTGATCAACCAAGGCCGAGGGAGAACTATATTGGAAACATGCTGCTCACAAGTGCTTATAGGAATCAGTCTAGTGATCCAGTACAGTCCATTTCAGACGATGCGATTCGCTCCAGTGGGTTTCAGTATCAGCAGCAGTCCATTTCAGATGATGATGTTGGGACTCACTCCGGTGCTATTCAGTATGGGCCTCCACCTATTTCAGATATTTGGACTCATTACGGTGGTAGTCTTCTGTATGGACCGCCCATTACAGATGTTGGGACGCATTCATCTACTACACTTCCTTTTGGGATAACAAATGTAGGACTTTTTACTTGGGACCAAACTACTGGATCTTATTACTCACAAGGTAATTATTAATTTCTACTACCTTTGTCTTCTTCAACTAATTTGTCTTTAATTAAATGTTTGGTTCCATATATAGATTCATTAGTGTATATATATTATATATTATATGGTTGTGAATTGAGTAGTGATGGGACAAATTGTTGATTTAATTGTTCCACAGAGATTCAATATGCAGAGAGATCGACACACTACCAGTATGACAATGTCATGAATGATTATGAGCATCACTCACCTTATCCCATGCAAGCAATAGAAAGAGAAAACCACCCAAGCTTGTATCATCATCATCATCATCATCATCATGACAATGAAACCAGAGGAAGAGGTGGTCGTCCTTCTCAGGCTCGGGTTAATACCAGGAATTCGAGTAACACGCTCATACCCATTCATCAATTAGCGCCACACCAGGGTCACCTTTTCCGAAATTATCTTCTAGAAGATGTATGTTACGTTAATTTATCTTCTTTCTCTACTACTTTTATCTACTTCCTTTATTTACAGACTACGGTACTTATATAACCATCTAACTTTAAGGATACTAATTAATATATTCCCTGAAAATATTGTTTGTAGGAGGTGCTCCAGCTGGATGATTCTTCATATTACTCCCTTTACATTCCGGCAAACCCCAATTCAGATAACTTCACTGATGATAATATGTCTTACGAGGTATCTACATTACTAAGTTCAAATTGAATGTGTTCTTAATTTAATTTTATACATAAATAAGACGATTTCACTCTCTTCATATATATACATTTATATATATCAAAGGAGACCCAAGTATGTATATAAATTGAAGACTAGTGATTATCTAAAAATCTTATTGCACTATCATTATAGATATATAATCATACATGTATAACTAAAAGGACACGTGCAACTTTGCAGGACCGACTAGAGCTTCAGGAACGGATGGGCCGGGTTAGCACTGGGTTGTCAGAGGAAACCATTGCAAATCAGCTTAACACAAGAACCCATATTTCATCTGCGAATCAGAACGAAGAACCTGAAATCTGTGTTATATGCCAAGTACGTAAAACTATATATATGCATATATATTCAGTCTCATGCAAACCAATTCCATTAATTCTTCCCATTTGTGTTTGGCTTTAATTTAAGGCATGCATCTTTGTCTGTTGATGATGTAATAACTAAAATGGTGTATAATTTTGCAGGCGGAGTATGAAAAGAACGAGACAATTGGAAGACTTGGATGCGGACATGAATATCATGCAGACTGCATAAAAACGTGGCTCCTTGAAAAAAATGTTTGCCCTATCTGCAAAGCTACACCTTTTTGATCATATATATAGTAGAGCTAGAAAACGACTTTTAGAGAGGCCAAGGATGATGTGTAGACTCTGTTTATTTCATTTGTTTCTCTCATGTCTATTGTGGACAGTGTATTGACGTGTTTATATAATTCAGTTGTTTCATCATTAACTATCTCAAAAGGCTAGCATTTTATTATTTTTGTCCACAGGAATTGAATCTTCAGTTTCTTCACATCAATGTTTCAGAACCATCTAACAATTTTGCCATATGTTGTCTACCCAGACGATGATATCAGATTGTAAATGTAATCCCGATTCCCAATAAAAACCCATTGAATAGACCTTACAAAAACCATTGAGTAATGTAGATCCCATAAAAGAACTTCCAATAACTCATTGATGAAAACAGAAAGGTAAGTTGTCAATCAACAATCAACATCCTCAAAGAGGATAGTCACCCTTTACTGACATCTCTTCATACAACATGAACAAGAAGACAAGCTTACAAATATCTAGCTCGAGCTTTGTAGTAAACTTTGCACAGGAAAATGGATCAATCTATCATTCCATTACCGTAATACAATAACTAATAAATTATTTATGTGGACAAAAAACATCAAATTGAAGCACAGTGAAAGTAGAATGTCTTGATACATTTCCGAATCCAATCCTGAGCAATCAAATTTAAATTAACATGAAGGTGACTAAGAGGACAAAAGAATGCAAGAAATATCAATCCTAAAATTTGGAGCCTCGGCAAAACTAGGCAAATTTTGAGTGTCACATGTTATAAATATATAAGTTTTGTTGGCGATGGTTCTTTGTAATTCTAACACTCAGACAATCAAAAGTGTCCCATAACCACATTGAAATGGGAATCAAAGAAATACCAGTTTTCGCCACTGGTCTCATTCTTTAGATTATGCAGAACAGCACCCAACCTTTTTCACCGCTGATACATCATCCTTGCCGCCAACATTAATGGTTTGCCCTTTTGGCAAAGCTGCCGGATCATCCCCAATATCAAGAGCCTTTCTGCTAACAACACGATATATATCTGACTAAGCACTTCAGTGAGAGCATTTTCCACATTCATGGACTCCAGAGCAGAGGTCTCCATAAAAAAGGTGTTTTCTGATGTGACATCCTCGGTGGAAGCAGCCCGCGAGTGACGCAAATCTGCCTTGTTCCCCACTAGCATGATCACAATATTGGCGTCTGTCTGATCTCGTACTTCCTTTAGCCATCTCTCTACATTCTCAAATGTGACATGACGAGTGACATCACAAACAAGCAATGCACCAACAGCTCCTTGGTAGTATGCACTTGTGATAGCACAGTATCTATAACAAAGAATTTCAAGTGAGAAGACAATTTATTCTGAAAGGAATATTGACAAGAAAATACACTTCGTTGATTAATCATGTAGTAAACAACAGGGCAGATATATATAAAAAGAGAAATTTTACACAGCAAAGGAGTTAAGATTGGGGATAAGGGCAATGTTAGACCAACAACCAATAACAATTCATTTTGGAAGTCGAAACCTTTTAAAGGGTTCCTAGTTTGCTTGTTTGTTTATACAAATATACATACTTATAGCCAGCAATAAAAATTTGAAGAAACTACGTTCGGATAGTATCATCACCATGAGATGGAAACTTAGATCCAGAAAATGATGGAAGGTAGGTTATTGATTTTTAAGTTCTGTAACTCTCTCCTTATTATATGGTAATCGGCTGCAACCCAGAAACATCCAAGGATTGTTCAGAAGCAATAATACCCTTGTTTAATAGCAGACGGTGATAAGAGGAAAGAGTACTAGTCTATTCAATATCATACATTTACTCAATGTTTGATTGGTAGTTTTGACATTCCAAGTTTTCTATTTCTAGTCAACCAACTTCAAGCAAAAGTAGAAACATTCCAGAATAGCAGAAATGATAATCGTGGAGTAATAATTTGATTTAAACTCTACTCATCACTATAATCTAGTAGCTAATCTTGTCACACCCAATCATATAGCATCCCAACTTACCATGGAGTATGAACATGTACAACATATGCTTTGCATGGTCAATTGGTACACATAGAACACCATGAAAGAAACAAATGTACAAGGAAACAAGCAAAGCCAGGGACATCAATGGAAAATGTCTAGAAAGAATCCAATTTATTCAACTATATACATTACAAGCTTGTCTTGCAACCAAATTGATTTGGGGTGTGTTTGTACATCCCCTCAAATTTGAATGGTTCCATCATTTTGATTGGTATTCCTAAACTATCATCTAGAACTGAGCCACATATTCACTAATCATGATTCATGAGCCAGACAACAGACAACATAGGATTAAAAACTTTCAATCTTTCTACTCATTTCCTCAATTTAGTCATTAATAGACCAAAAAAATAAAAACAAAATCTTCTGATCTGAGACAGATAAACAAAAATTAAAGTACATTGGAAGACTTGGATGCGGACATGAATATCATGCAGACTGCATAAAGACTTGGCCCCTTGAAAAGAATGTTTGTCCTATCTGCAAAGCTACAGCTTTATGATCATATAGATAGTAGAGCTAGAAAGTCACTTTCAGAGAGGCCAAGGATGATGTATAGACTGTGTTTATTTCATTTGTTTCATTTATGTCTATGGCGGATGATGTATTGACGTGTTTATATATTTTAGTTGTTTCATTTATTAATTATCTCAGAAGGCTAGTGTTTTATTATTGTATTGTATTATTTTTGTCTCAGGCTTGCTGGTATTTTACTATTGTAGCCATTGGAATTGAAACAGACCTGATGCTTCGTAAGGCATTTGGCCAGTACATGTACAGAAATTGAAGAACGTGACTCGCCAGTACTTCTGAGCCAATCCACGGGGAGTATTAATTACAAACTCGCCAGTTTTTGGATCATAGGTGGTGACTGTTTCAAATCCTCATACCTGAAAAAGATAACCCAGGAAACAGTCAAGGAAACTGACGCAGAAGAATGGATGAAAATCAAAGAACAGGCCAAATACCCCCCATATTAAATGAAGGAACCACCTTTACATACATTACTTCCATGCTCAAGTTCAGTCATTGCAAAGCAGCCTTTGACTACGTAACTTTCAGTGTTTCTCATGATGGCGCTTTGTGCCAAAAAACTGGATGGCACCACCCCAGAAATGCATTGAAAAAGAGAGTCCTAATGATAAAATTTCTGTGATATACCACACTAAAATTAACAAACAAACACAATATTCCAAAAGTTGGACTTGTAATAACTAATAATATATGCAATTCAAGTTTATTTATTTTTTTGATAAGTAAATCAGCATTGATCACCAAGCTCCAAAAAATACCCAGACTAATTGATTGTCTGGCTAATATGATCAACAATTCCAGCCAGACCTAGCTACATGCCAATACCTGAAGTTCAATTAAAAATAAAAGTGTAAAGTTCATCATGGTCCAATTGCATTAATATATTTTTTAAAAGAATTTGATGGCCCCTGCTCCTCATTACATGAATAAGAGTAGGAGTCCACCCAACTGAAACTTGCAAACCAACTTGCATAACGTGTTTCCTCCCTCCTCAGTAACATATATGATTGAATTGTCTTCTGTTAGTTGTGAAATGATGATCACACATAGTTTAAAAGGGAAAAAATAAAAAATCAACACTATTGTTAAGGTTCATATTGGCAAGAGAAAAATAAGTGAATTTAACAAGAAATGAACAAACATAAAACTGGATGATTTATTCAGTTCACCCACAAATAAGCTATATTCGTGAGCAAAGACAACAAAAAGGTTCCACTATATATAATGAAGACGGTACTATGAATTTTTTCTTAAACTCAATCAAAGAAGGTATCCCATCCAAAACCCAAAAAGAGTATAATAAACTGAAACAAAACATCCAAAGTAAAAAAGTCAGATAAGACACATGTTTCTCCAAACTCCAACCACAAAATGCGCTCTAGAACCAAATCCAACCACAAAACGCGCTCTGGAACCATGTAAAGAAATACCCCATGAATTCTCCCATAAGCATAGAACCCCTAGCTACCTTGGGTATACTATACTCCTACCACGTACTCATTCTTTATAAAGCTCTTAAAGTGAATTCATTGTTGGACATGAATTATGATGATCTCTAATAGTTTTTTCTTCAAATCTGAAGATATTTCTGGAAATTTTGGGAGGTTTTTTATTTGAATCCTTAATTAGATCTTTTAAAGAGGAATTTTGGTGATACTTTTAAATCCTCATAGAAATGTGATGATATAACAGTATTAATGTCAGAAAGGATCTCTTCTGTGTAGAAAGAGATCCACCATCTGTATGATAATTCTATCATAACATAGGCTAAATTATTATTGTCATTCCTATAAAGGAATTTTAATGCGCAGATCCAAGGAATACTAAACCTAATAGAACCCTTCGCTACCTCAGGCATACTCCAACTCCTCTACCACATACTCAATTTTTATAGAGCTCTTACACCAATTTCTTGTTGGACAAGGTTGTTTAATTTCTTTAGTATAACTCTGTCACACTAGAAAAAGTGCTCCAAAGCCACGTAAAGAATTACCCCACAGGTTCTCGCTCACCAGCATGTGCTCTCACAGGTCCAGAACCCCTCCTATCTTGGGCAGTTGGGCCCACTCAAATTTCTAACACAATCTCATCTGTTATGGAATCGGGAAACTAATTGGCCATCCAAGGACAGACCCAGAAAATTATGTAAGGAGACGGCCTATGTTGTGGGGGCAATAGTGGGATTATTCAGTAATTTCATTGGGGGGCAAATTAATTTTTTTGTAGGTATGTAATACAAAAAAAATAAAAAATAAAAAAAAGGTGGAGGAGGAAACTGCAGGTATAAAAACCAAAACCAAAAAAAAAAAAAAAAAAAAAAAATCTGTGGGGCCCCCACTGGATTACAGGTAGGTCCGTGGCTGTGACCATCAAAAGAAGAAAAATCTTAAAAAGAAACTCATTATTTTATTTATTTTTTTTATTTATAACTGAAACCCATTAAATTAAAGAATATGAGACAGAAATCTGGCCGGCCACATTTCGGAGAGAGAGAGAGAGACAACCATGTTCTTATTTATTTGATTCACAAATCAAATGAACGGCCACCAAGCTTGGACAAGTACATGGCTTAGTTAAAT